ATCATGACAAAGCAGAGGACAAAAAAGAACTCTGTCAAAGACGCTGGGATTGGTGTGTGAGTGTGTACAGTGCAATAAAATCCCTCTCATAAAATAACAATGATAACCAAAGGGCCATTATTACGGTAAAGCAAATGGGCGCAATCATGGAGCGTTTTCCAGGCTATCTTCGGAGGTGATTTCGACGTTGGTCTGCGAACGATTTCCTACATCTCCACTTCCCTCTTGGTTGGTTGGAGGATTGTTCGACGTCTGCTCGGGAGTGGACACTGGGTCATCAGTAGGTACTCGTTTTGGAGTCTGGATAGAAATAGAACATTTTTGAAGCAAAATTAGTTATCTCCTGTGTATTAGTCAATGAAAAGCGCGCATTCGACAGACAACACGAGAATACTGTCAAGGACTATCTGCCTCTGGATGTCTTTATGTGGGTATTCTTAGGCGGTTTTAAGCGGAAGCTGGGTGGATATGGAAGTGCGCTTTAGAATACCGAGTTCGGCCATCGGTTTAGAGGATATCCACTGTATGTTCAACAGCAGGGTGGTGCAGGGACGGTGAAAACAGAATTGTACGGCATTTACCGCACTCTATTTCCTTACGCGCATTGACTGGTGTCAAGACGACAGGATCGGGCATGGGTGTCATGCCCTGATCTGGCTCCTGTGTTAGTTCAGGACATCTACCAGGCCCCTTTAAAGAATAATTTAATTTATACCACCCAATCGATGTCATTCTGACGCTCGTAAAAATTTGAATAGTATGCTATTTACTATATTACAGTAAAATGTGTTTAAATAATATTTTATCAAACATAATTCGTCGCCCACGCTTTCTTTCCATCATACTTAGGCGATGATCATCACATCTTCCCTATTTGTCCTTTTTTCGGACTGCGAAGATCCCGTCAGCAATCGCACCCACCGCACTTTGTGACCCTAGTTTACGCAATCCCTAAACGTTCTCTTCTGAGTGGACCCGCAATGGACTGTCGACGATCGTGGGGTGGCTCGTGTCACTGGCACCAGAAATAATCTGAGGTACTATTTTTGATATCATAAAATGCATGGAAACAAATGGGGGGTTCAAAGGTACACATCTACATTTCCCTCAAACTTAACTGAAAAAGCGTGACCGTTTCGACCAAGTGTTAATAACGTGAGGCTGGTATAGGAAGATTAATTAGATTTAATGCTTTTCTTCTAAAAAAACACAAATGACATGCCATTTAGAGTTCTGGGTCATGCCTTGTGAGTTTTTTTCCCTGTCTGCTCTTTCTGCTCAATTAAACCTGCAGGCTAGTGTTAACTGACATCACCCCATGTGATTATATTACTCGGAACAAGTGAGTAGCCGCCTACAATTATGTAAACAACCTTCTTTGAAATGTTCGGCTGCGCTGATGCATTTCGTAACTATTGTGTAGCAACAGGGAGTTCAAAGGCGTCTCCCTTAATAAACTTAACCTGACGATACGCAACGCCAGTGGACGTCAGGAGAGATACATTTATACGAAGACCTAGACAGTGAAATAAGAATATCCATCAGTCCAAGTCTCACTAGTTTCGATGTATATTTGGCAAAAAATGCTGAGAATGGAGAACCGACTAAGCTCTCTGAAACGACAGTAAGAATGCGAATATACTCCATTGAACAAGGTCTCCAAGATTATATTAGCGCTGACAACTGCAGCAAGAGATATTGTTTCTACCTTATGAGTGTACACGCTTGGATTGCGTTAACGATAGAATTTATTGGATCTATAAATTTAAAGAGTGCTCATCAGCTGCTTCATCTCACTGAATAACGTGAATAACGTAAGCGTCCCTTGATGACGCTTACATATATATTTTGCTGCTAAACTCTTAGTGAGCAATCTAACAAGGTCCCTACCAACTCCACGTGCGAAGGATGCCTTGGCGTTGCACGCCACATCAAATCGTTTACGAATTTACACGCACTTGCGGATGAAAGTACATAGGGCAAACGCAACCGCAACTGGCAGCCAGAGAAAATGAGCACTTGCCTAGTTGGCAATTAAAACAAGAAAAAAGAACTTATCATTCACCGGTAACTGAACATCTGCTCGATACGGATCATACTGTTGACCCCAAAACTTAGTCCCGAGTACTTGTTCGGGCACGAACAACTCGCACCTTACGCTATCTGGCGGAAGCCTATATAGGGTGGTTTAAACCTGAAATATGTTAACAGTTGGAGCATTCGGTGAACTTAACTTTGCCTTGGAAACATCCGACTCCCTGATAACACAG